ATCAAGTTCACCTGAGTCTTAAAACTGACTTTACTACTTCTTAGCAATTTGGAGAGGTCCTTGACAAGATATTTTGATTACAAGATGTCTTTTGAATTCTTGACTTCCATTACCATTGAGTACTAAATGTGGATCCAATTAAGAAGAAATTGTTGACAGCAATCTCTTCTCCATCATGATGTTGCCTCTTGGTCCACTAGTGAGGATTTTTGTTTTCTTGATGCTGATGTGTTCTGCCCTAAGTGATTCAAGAATTCTTCACTTTCAGCAAGAAACATTGTGCTATTCGCATAACATAGGCTGTTTATGAGTCTTCTTCCAATCCTGATGCCAGATACAAGATGGTATGATACTTCAGGCTGTACTGCTACCAATAGCACTGTAGTTGTATGCTATCTCATAGGAACCAGCTGACCCTCCATTCAAAGGCAGTTATGCTATCTCATAGGAACCAGCTGACCCTCCAGTCAAAGGCAGTTATGCTATCTCATAGGAACCAGCTGACCCTCCAGTCAAAGGCAGTTAATCACATACAAGGGCCAAGCCTTCTCCCTTTGAGCAGCTGGTGGATTCAAACCACATGTCTTTGGGACTGCAGAGAAGCTTCTTACAGCACTATGCCACCAGAGATCCAAATTCATTACAGTCAAAGTACTTCAGACTCATAACAATCTTATTGACCATTTCAAGTCCCATCCTCAATCCATGTTTTATACCTTCCCAAGTCATAAATTCTTTAGAGCAGAAGTAGTAATTTTATTTGTATCTTATTCCTTCACAATTACCAAGAAAAAGTATTTATTACCTTCATACATTGAGAAAAACAGAGGATGTTTTGGGGTAATGAAAATCTAAGAATTTGGACTTGTACGGAGGTTAGCAGATGATTATTTTAATATTAGCACAATAGTTTTTAATCAATTTACACAAATCCAAAATGACTTGGCTCTTTTCTATATATATGTAAAATAAAACCACCTAAAGACCACCAAACCAAACCTATTGTTGTAGTCAGTTTCAACTCATAGGAACTTTCCATCGTTTCCAAGCCTATAAATTGTTATGAAAGGAGAATGCCTCATCTTTTTCCTGAAATGCTGTTCTCACTGTTATGTGCTTGTAAGTCCACTACAACTCATAGTGGCCCTATGAACAACAGATCTGAATCCTGCTCTATGCTGTGCCATCCTCATTATCTCCACCGTACTTGAGACCATTGTTACAATCACTGTATCAATTAATCCCATTGAGGGTATTCCCCTCTTTTGCTGACCCTCCACTTTTCCGAACATGATGTCCTTTCTTTTCCAAGGACTAGCCCCTCGCAGCAACATATGTCCAAAGTACATGAGATGAAGCTTCACTATCCTTACCTCTAAGGAGCATTCTGGTTACACCCTCTCCAAAACAGATTTGTTCATAATTCTGGCAGTCACTGAGCCACTGTACTCTTCTCCAGCACCAGAATTCAAAGGCATCAATTCTTTTTCTGTCATCTTTATTTATTGTCCAACTCTCAGATGCACTTTGAAAAGACCATAGCTTGAATCAGGCACAGTCTTTAAACTCAACTGTGACTTGTAGACTTAAGTAGCTGATCTTTCAGTTAGCAGATCAATACATAACACACTATTCCAAGTCTCTTTGAGTACTTAAATAATCCCTTCTAAAAACGGAAGAGTGGAGGGGCGGCGCAGGAGAGAAAGACCTTCGATGAGATGGATCGATTTTGTGAGTGGAGTGGTGGGAAAGAGTGTGTTTGAGATGGCGAGGTTGGCACAGGATAGAACAGCATTTAGGGCTCTTGTACATAGGGTCACTATGAGTCGCAAATGACTCGATGGCACATAGCAACAACAACAAAAATGAAGAGTCACACAGAGTCACAGGCAAAAGACAACCATCAAAAGTTTCCAAATCAGGCCAATTAATTTCTGGTTCTTGGCCTTCAAGGAAAGCAGTTGCATGAACTATAACAAAGTTCCAATCATAAGACTCAAATATTTTTACTCAAGCTATCAAGGCTGCATTCTGTCCTAGAGGCCAGTCTTGTTCCTAATCCTTCAACAAAGACTCATCACAGGTTAGGCTCAGAAACAGGTGTTCAGAAAATTGCAACTCAAGAATGCCTCCTGGTTCTATAGTTCAAGCCTAATGACAAGAAGTTATAAGGCAGTTTACTCAATCACAGTCTACTATTACCAATGGCAACCAACAAGTGTAGGAAAAGCCTTAATTCAGAGTCTCTGTCTTTTTAAAGTTTTACTCCTTACCCCAAGACTTGAAAAGAACAAATCTATACTTTAGAAATTAACTTTTCTTAAATGAACTTTGTTGCTGTCACATGCCGTCAAATCAGAACTGGCCCTCCAGAGGCTTTTCAGAAGCTGTAAATAGCGCCTGACAAGTTCAGGTTAGCAGAAGCTTTTCAGAAGCTGTAAACGGCATGGGGCAAGTTAGCAGCACAACTCCTTAGCTAGAAGGCCACCAGATCTAATTAACTTACACATCTATTTACCTAACAACTGAATATAGAGCAGGAGTTTTGTTAGTAACCTAAAATAAGCATTCAATCTTAATCAATTAACTTTCAGCAGTGTAATTCCCATTAAAACGAAAATGTACGTATTTCCACACCTATGACACAGTATCACTACAAGTCAATTTATTTCACACATGTATTGCACAGGGAAAATCTGCTGTCAGGCATCGCTCCGGAGTAATGAGAAGCAATGATGTCAGTCTAGAGACTAAGGTGCGCCTGATCGAGGCCACAGTCTTCACAGTTACTTGCTATGTATGCAACAGAGAGCTGGACAATCAAGGAGAGGAGCAAAGGGGGGGAGGGGGGAGGGGTTTGTGCGGGGAGAAGGGTGCAACAGTGAATGAATGGAATCCCAAAATCTCTGTAGATGTTCACTGAAATGAAAAATAAACAACCTAGATTTAAAAAAAAAAAAAAAAGAATCAACTGTGGACCACCAAGAAAACCAACAGGTCTGTCTTTGAGAGGGTGAAAATAAGTTTCCCCTTGGAGGCGAGGATTTTGAAGGTCTATCTCACATACTTTGGCATGTGGCCAGGAGGGAATGACCTTGGAGAAGGAAATGATGCTTAGAAGGGTGGAGGGACATCAAAGGAGAGGAAGACCCTGGAGAGATGGACTGATACAGTAACTGGGGCAATGGGGGTAGGTGTGTCAGAGTCAATGAGACTGGCAGGGTTCAGAGCTATTATACGTAGAGTCACTATGAGTTGCCACTCGACAATATATAACAACAACTTACAGAAATCCTCTTAAAATATGTTCTTCAAAGCATAGCAGTTACTATATAATAACAGCTCCCTTAAAGCTTTGTCTTTCATACTTTGGGCATGTTGCTAGGAAAGGCCATTCCTTGGAAAAAGTTATCATGCTTGGAATGGTGGAGCGTCAGCGAAGGAGAGGAAGACCCTCATTGAGATGGGCTGGAGCAGTGACTACAGCAATGGGTTCAAATATATCAGAAACTGTGAGGATGGCACAGGATAGGAGAGGATTAAGGCCTGGTTACACCTGACTTGAAGACACCTAACAACCACCTTAAACTTTATATATACGTTGTCAGATCATTCTACAAATGACAGGTGAGCAGTAAAAAAAGGCCTTAATCCTTAATGTGGTTCTTCTCAAGTTAAGGTCAGATTTATTCTGAACTTGGCTTCTAGGGTACTCTCCACATTTTGTTATTTACATCAAATGCAGGATGCAGCAGCGTCCAAAATTTGTCTCACATAAATAGAAATGAACTTTCAAGCCACTGAAGCTCCCTTCTGTTTCATTTTGAAATTTTTCGAACAATCATTTAACCAAACTATTCAACCAAAACAACCTTTCTTGCTTAAGTCTGCAAAGGTTTCTAGCCCATTTAGTAAAATTCAGAGCGACACAGGAAACAGGATTCAGAGAGAACGACTTTAACCAACTCTCCTAACTAACTATACCTGCTGTGAGTTCAACTGTACCTGATCCTAACACTCAGTGCTTCTGCACTGCTACCCAAAGCGCTCCTACACTGCAATTCCTTCCCCTAGGAACACCAAAGATGCCAAAGCTCTCTCTGAAACCCCCAAAGCATGGTATGTTTCCCGAGGGAACAAAGAGTAACAAAGAGTTAGTTGGCAACCACCTCTCAAGAGAGACAGGTCAGGACCCATAGAAACTGACATACAACACAAGCATGAACAGCCCCCCCCCCCATCCCCACTCATCTCCTCTTTCCCAGGAAAGCCCACCCACGGAAAGCCTAATTTTGTTGCGGAAGTGGAGTTCTTCCATTTGAATTCCGAGAAAGTGGCGCTCAACGAACCCGGTGAACAAAGGAGAGGAGGGATGGAGTCCGTGAAGAGTAGGAGTGCGCGTGTTACAAATCGGGCCCAAATCCTCAGTCCCTCCTCTCCAGGGCCCAGGACCGACCCGGGAGGATGGAGAAGAGTGCAGAGGCTGGAGGCGGAGAAAGGAGCAGATGCACCCGCCACACGGAGACAGAGGGACACGAAGAAGAGGGGAAAGCGGGCGGGGACACGAGACAGCCGAGGGGCCAGAGGGCGGGGCTCCCTCGGCCGCAAGGCTTTGTGTGCAGTCTCGCCCCGATGGACAGGCAGCTTGGGGGGGGGGGGATGTCTGGGTGCAGGGGACCGTGCAGGCCACCGCGCACCTCGGCTCCCACGAGTGACAGGCAGGCGACCGCCTTCGGGGCAGCAGGCTGCACGGCCGGAGGGAATAAGGGTGCAGGAGCGAAGGGGGACGGCCCTCCAGCTCCCGTCCGCAGAGCCGCTCCGGCTGAAAGGTCTCCCGCAGCCGGCGGCGGGGTGGGAACGGGTTAAGATTCAGCCACACGTCTGTCCGTACTCCACCTCCACACCTCTCAGCGCTGGCGCCCACTCGCGACGGGAGCCGCGCCCGCCGCGCCCCGGGCCTGCAGCCCCAGCCCTGCCCGCCCACCCTCCTGGCCTCGCACCATCGTAGTAGTAGCAGACTTTCTTCTTGCCGCCTCCTTGACTGTACGCCATGGGCTCCCCGGCCACCGCCGCCTCCGGGCGCCGGCACCTCCTTCTCCTGCTACTGCTGCGGCCGCCGCGGCTCGGCGGGGAGAAAGAAGGGAAGGGGCGAAGGAGGGGCAGGGAGTCCCTCGGAGAATGGCAGGCCCGAGAGAAAAGAGGAGGGGGCCCCGGGACTGGTCGGTATCACCCGGCCTAGGGGCCGAGAGCTCCGAGAGGGGGGGCGGTAGCAGCGGCGCCAACTCGCGACACCAGGGAGGGGGAGGGGGCAGCCAAACCACCTCTGGAGGCCGTGGGGAGGTGGGGCGAATCCACGGTGGAGTCTGCAGGGGAAGCAGCAGCACGACTAAAGAAAGCGGCTCGCTCTAGGATTAAGAATCCTAACGATGAAAACACAATCTCAGGAGGGCTGTGATTAATATAGTAACAATATCAGGGGAAATGGTAGGCTTTCTGCAGGTAGACAAGGCTATCCCGGAAACGGCCTGGAGTTCTTCCCCTCGGATCTTCCCGCAGTGGTTTCGCCTGTCCGGAGCCTGCGCAGTCGGCACCTTCCCAACCGTGGCCTCTGCGCCCCTCGGCGTCGTCCCACACCGCTCCCCTCCTCCACTGTCGCGAAGCTCTCTCCCAAGCCCGCCCGAGCCGGCCACGTGCGGTGAACCCGGCGGGAAGAGTGCAGCCTCCCACTGCTGGTGGACCTAGTTGTCTTAAGTTTTCTCATTTCTCTCTCTCTCTTTTTTTTTTTTTTTAGCTGCTCTTTGCTCTGGGGTACTACTGATTTGTTTAAAACGTCAAGGAGAGCAGTGGATTCAAATAAGGATTCAAATCTTATGAAGGATTTGAATAAGAAGTCTCATTATTCTCATCATTAATTATTATTAATCAGTATTCATAGTTGAAGAAATCCTTCAATCATGTTTTTAATATTCGTCTTAAAATGAATTGTGTCTCAACTTAAAATATAAAAAAATAAGCCCACTGCTGGCAATTGATTCACGGCAACCTTTCTAGAACTTCCCCATAGGGTTTCCAAAGCTGTAATTGTTCTCCAGAACTGATTGACACACCTTTTTCCCAGAGTGGTGGATATAAAAGGGTTCAAACGGCCAACATTTCATTTAGTATTCAATGTTTTGGGCATGGTACCACCAATAACCAAAGCAAACTCAGTGCCCTGGAATTTTGAACTTAAAATGACTAAAACAGGGGAGCTGCCCTATAAGGTTCCCAAGGTCCTAAGGAAATCATCTTTTCCCAGTCCCACAATTATTGTAAGGCACCTGGGAGTAGAAGCTGCACTGCAATCCCAAAGGCACACTATCCTAATCCACTAGCTGCTCTATGGGAGAAAGAGCCAATCTCCTCCCTGCCATTGACTAAGTGCCTCTGAAAACCTTCTGGAGGGTCTGCTATGGGTCAGTTCACACAGCATGTCACACAACAGGGCCTCTGCAGGCTGACATGCTTGGCTGTTGACTACAAGGTTGACAATTCCAACCCACCAACTGCTCTATAGGGAAAAGCAGGTAGTGCACTTTTGCAAAGATTTCCACTTTGGAAACCCTGTGGGGGCAATTATACTCAATACTTTGATGGGCTGGTGGGTAAACTTGTGCTGCCAACTCGCAGGCAGGCAGTTGGAATCCACCAGCTGCTGCACAGGAAAAGGAAGAATTCTCTTCTCCCAAGCAATTTACAGCCTCTGACAACCCGCTGGACAGTCTACTCCAACTAGAATGCAATGAGTTCTTTCTTAGTTTATACTTTTTAGTCTACTCTGTACTGTATTCATTCTTTCACTGGCTGGATATTGTGAAATTGGAGCAGTAGGGAAAGTTAAAATCATAAATCACCTTCCAGTTTCAGATAGACCTTGTTAAACTATTAGAACACTGATTATGCCCATATAAGATAAAAAATAAGAGGGCAAGAGTTAGTCAACCTAATAAGTATTTTAGGCCAGTGGGACTTTGGTTGCATCATGAACAGCTAAGCAGAGTGAGAACTTCCAGCAATATCATTTTGTTGGTGCAAACACCATTTTCTTAATTTCTGTGCCCCAGGAGAAAGAAGACTGGCTAAAAAAGGCTATCACCCCAGTAACTCAATGTCCCCTCCATGACACCCTTTACCTTTCAGAAAGGGTCTTCTTTTCTCTAGAATATATGTTCTTTAATAAATTATCTCTACCTCTACCTCCTGCTATGCAAAGGCATTTGATTGTCTGGATCCTAACAAATCATGGCTAAAACTGAGAATGAGATTCTCAGACCAATTAACTTGCTCACACGAAACCTATACCTAGATCAAGAGGCTGTTTTCTGAACAGAGCAAGGGAAAACTATATAGTTTTATGTCAGAAAAGGAGTGCATCAGGGTTGTATCCTTTCCCTGTACTTTTTCAGTCTATGCTAAAGTCATTCAAGAATCATTTGAGAAGCTAGTCTCTATGAAGACGAAGTAGCACCAGGGTTGGAGGAAGACTCATCAACAGCCTGTGTTATGCTGATCACACAAGATTGCTTGCTGAAGTTAAGGAGGGCTTGAAGCACATGTTGCAGATCAAAGACCATAGTCTTAATATAGATTGCATCTCAACATAAAAAAAAAAAGTTCTCATCACAATAGACAACATCGTGATAGATGGAGAAAAGATTGACACTGTGAATGACTTCATCTTACACATGCCCATAATTGAAACACTTGGTACCAGCAGTCAGGAGGTGGATTGCATTGGGAAATTCTGCAGTCAGGGATGCCAATTTGCTGACATCAAGGATTAAGGTATTCCTGATTCAGACCATTGTCTTTTCAGTCATTTCCTATGCCTCTGAGAACTGGACAATGACAGAACTGAATAACAGAATAATTATTTTCGATGCCTTTGATTTATAGAGTTGGAAAAGAGGGCTGAAGATACCATGGACTACCAAAAGAACAAACAGATGTCTTGAAGAAAGTATTTCCAGAGTTCTATTTGGAGACAAAGATGACAAAGCTTCCTCTCGCATACTTTGTGCATGTTGCTTAGAGAGGTTATTCCTTGGAGAAGGACATGATGCTTAGAAAGATGGAGGGGCAGAGAAAGAGAGAAAGACCCTCAACCAAATGGATTAACACAGTGACTGCTGCAAAGGGCTTGAGTATGAACAGATGATGAGGATGTCAAAGCGTAGGATGGAGTTCAGATCTGTTGTTTATAGCATCCTTCACTTGATGTCACATAGCAACAACAATATTCACGTCCACTCTTGTTTCTTTACCTTGTTTCTCAGCTAGTTGGACATCCCTAACCTTAGCAGCTGTTAAAGTCTCTGAAGCTATAGTATTAAGGAGAAGTTTTCTTAAGAGCCACTGAAATTGCGATACATCCCTGTTAAAGTCTCTGAAGCTATAGTATTAAGGAGAAGTTTTCTTAAGAGCCACTGAAATTGCGAGACATCCCCTAGTCCCTCCATGGTATCACCTCCTTTTTTTTTTTTAATTTGTACTTTAGCTTTAATTTATGTGTCATTTTAATTGACTTTTATTATAGTTACCCTTGTGACTTATTTTATTTTATTAGTTCTAATGAACATTTACAGAGATTTTGGGTTTTCATTCATTCATTGTTGCACTGTTTTCTCTAGCCTCCTCCCCAGTTCGTTCTTCTTTGTTCCCCCCCCCCGCCTTGAATGTCTGTTTTAACTGTCCATTTACCACAGTGCTTGTCGAAGCCAGTTCTGATTAATCTCCTTTGTCAGTGTGTTCTTTGCCATTCCCTATCACTCCTCCCTGAGAGAGACTTCACCCTGATTCATAAGGAAAAGGGGATGGCGTATTCTCTTAGCTAC